TTGCAGACAACACTGCCAAATCCTCCACCTATACAGACAAAATTCACTTCTCCCCAAATCATCTCCCTATTTAGCAAATGGTATCTCCATCCTACAAGTTGCTCAGGCCAAGAAAAGTCATAGAGTTATCCATGATTATTCTCTTTCTCTAATTTCCCACATCCAATCCAACAGGAAATCTTTCTGATTCTACTTTCTTTCTTTCTTTCTTTTTTTTTTTTTTGAGACTGAGTCTCACTGTGTTGCCAGGCTGGAATGCAGTGGCACAATCTTGGCTCACTGCAACTTCTGCCTCCCAGGTTCAAGCAATTCTCCTGCCTCAGCTTCCCAAGTAGCTAGGACTACATGCGCACGCCACCACGCCCAGCTAAGTTTTGTATTTTTAATAGAGATGGGGTTTCACCATGTTGGCCAGGATGGTCTTGATCTCTTGACCTCCTGATCCAACCGCCTTGGTCTCCCAACGTGCTGGGATTACAAGCGTGAGCCACCGCGCCCACTCTGACTCTAGTTTCAAAACATACCAGTCTCTGATACTTTTCAACCCCTCTGTGCAAACCAAGGTTAATCCATGTTATTTCAAGTTGAAAGCTGGTCTTCTAAAGATGAGAAAGGAAGACTAGAGCAATGTATGGAAAAAAATAATCAAAAACAAAAAAAACGATCAGCAAATAAGGTAGAAAGAATTAGGCTGATCCAGAAGCGAGCATGAGACTGAGTGTCAGGCAGACCCGGATTTGAACCCTGGCTCTGTGTGTATCGGCTCTGGGCCCCGGGGTAAGTAATTTAACATCCATAATCTTCCATTCTGATAACTATACATAGAGCTAATCATACCTGCCTCAGAAGGCAATTGTGAGGATTAGAGAAGATATGTTTAAAGTAGGTACTCAATAAATAATAGCTCCTGTTAAGATTATTAATAGGCTATTCAACTAATTTTTCAAGTTAGGAAACATTAGACTTACTGTTTCCCTTGAAAATGAAAAAAAAATCATTTAATTATAAGCCTAAAGCTCACATTTTAAAAGTAGATAATGAGATAATGTTTAAAAATGGAGGTGGGGAGAGAAAATGAGCTTCTTTCACCACATGACAAAGGTGCATGTATTAGAAAAGTAAACTCACACAAGGAGGATAAAAATAGGTACAGAAAGGCCAGGCATTTATCCTAAGTTTGCTCACGCCTATAATCCCAGCACTTTGGGAGGCCGAGGCAGGCAGATCACAAGGTCAGGAGTTCGAGACCAGCCTGGCCAGCACGGTGCAACCCCATCTCTACTAAAAATACAAAAATTAGCTGGGCTTAGTGGTGTGTGCCTGTAATCTCAGCTACTCAGGAGGCTGAGGGAGGAGCATCGCTTGACCTTGGGAGGCAGAGGTTGCAGTGAACCAAGATCAGGCCACTGCACTCCAGTCTGGGCAACAGAACAAGACTCCATCTCAAAAAATAAAAATAAAAATTAAAAAAAAAAAACAGGTGCAGAAGCTTGACCTGCATTTCAATATGTTGAAGCACCTTGAGTCAAATGCTCGTTTTTAAATGGCATCTCTGGGTCTATAACAAATGTGATGCCATCTGACTTGTGCTATCAATCACGTGGGTGGGAGGAACGCAGAAATGTCCTCCCATCTTCAGTCAAAAGCTGTACTTTCTTAGACATGGAAAGCAATATATTGGGTTTTCATATTTAGATTGTTAAATTTTTAAATATTTAAACTTTTTATTGATGCATAATAGATGTACATAGTTTCAGGGTACGTGTGATCATTAAATACATCCATATAATTTGTAAAGATCGAATCAGTGTACTTGGGATATGAAAGCTGTATCTCTTTGGATGATGTATAAACTTGTGGAGAAAAACATACCCATACTGATTTATGTAATCTTGCACAGCAGGTACTTAATAAATGCGGGGTGATGATGAGGTGGAAAATATGAAACTAAAGGGCCTTGTAAAAGTGTAAATATCCATAATCAGCCTCATCTCATCTCTCTAAAAAATGGTATACTGCATTATTTCCTGAGATTAGAGATTTATCAACAGCTTCACGCTTGTAAGCAGACCATTTGTTTGATATTACACCAAGTTAAAGCCCTACTAGTGTCTTGTCTTTATTAGCTCACCAGGAATTAAACAGGCTTTAGCATGCATTTGCAAGTTTAAAAAAATTTATGAAATTAAGAATTATTTCATTGTATACCCTGTCAGACTTGTGAATAAGTGTTGTCTCATGCATATATAGAAAACACAGGTTAACAGGTGGATTAATACAGACTTATTTGCTACTAAGTTCAAAGAATTCTTCCATGATGAATTTTGCTGCCACTGACATTAATTAAAAGCTCCAGTGTTTGAGAGGAAAGCCTAATTCAATCTACCTCCCCATCCCTGGTACCAATTTTCCCCCAACATTTATCCTAAGTTTGCCTGGTCATATTGTGCTCAGCACTGGGAACTTCTAGCATATTTATACCAGAATGTATCTTGCCTGCCGCCCCCATCCCCCACACTTTTTTTTTTTTTTCCTTGGAGACAGGGTCTTGCTCTGTCACCCAGGCTGGAGTACAGTGGCACCATCATAACTCACTGCAACCTCCAACTTCTGGTCTCAAGCCGTCTTCCCACCTCAGCCTCCCAAGTAGCAAATAGCTAGAACTACAGGTTTGTGCCACCACACTCAGCTATTTTTCTTTTTTAAAAAATTTTTAGTAGAGATAAGGTTTCACCATGTTTCCCAGGCTGTTTTTAAACTCCAGATGGCTTTGAACTCAAGCAATCAGCATCTGAAAGCGCCGGGATTACAGGAACAAGCCACCACGCACAGTCCTCGCCTGCCTTTTTAAAGCCTAACAGTCTACTAAGAATGAAACATTGATCCTTCATCTTTGTTTCATCCCAACTCAAGACGCATCTTTTATGATTGGAATCAATATAAAGGTGGATATCTAAGTAACCTGTAATCAAATAAAGAAAAAAGGATAGCAATTATCCCATCTTCTAAGGTAACTGGTATTTTTACTAGAATTTTAAAATATTCTGCATATATATATACACACACACACACACACACACAAATTTTTGTTCCCAATAACCAAAATAGAAACATTTGTAAAATAAGCTTCAGTGGGGTGGCTCACGCCTGTAATCCCAGCACTTTGGGAGGCCGAGGCGGGTGGGTCATTTGAGGTAAGGAGTTCAAGACCAGCCTGGCCACATGGTGAAACCTCATCTCTACTAAAAACACAAAAATTAGCCGGGGATGGTGACGCGCACCTGCAGTCCCAGCTACTCAGGAGGCTGAGGCAGGAGAATCGCTTGAACCTGGGAGGGAGAGGTAGCAGTGAGCTGAGATCACGCCATTGTACTTCAGCCTGGGTGACAGAGTGACTCTGTCTCAAAATAATAATTATTAATTATAATTAGTATTATATAATTATTAATAGTAATAATAATAATTATTACTTAGGTTCCAGCCAGATTCTGATCCAGAAGTAGAAGACTGGAGACATGGGGCTTAGGGAAGGGATTCTAGATGCTCAGGTAGGGGTTGGAGATGAGAATCACGAGGCTTAGGGAAGGGATTCCACAGATGCTCAGGTAGGGGAGAGAGCAAGTGGGTTCCCACGGTAACTTTCATAGTTACATGTAAAATCTATTTGGCAAATGACCCCACACATATTCTTTTTGAAAAAAAGCAGAACAAGAGTGTTTTCTCGTGATGAATTTTTATCTGAGTGCAACCACTGGACGGCATAAATACCTGACTTCTGGCCTATGCTTACGGCATTTCATGATTCTTCTGGAAATGTTCAGCCTTGAAACCTTTATGTTTGGAATATTGTCTTTAAATTAGGTTGTAAAATGTCCAGTTATGAAATATATACCAAGTGTTCTTTTTAATCACTTAAAGCTCCAAGTGAAGAAAACCTGCCTGGCATTAGATAAATATCTTGAATGTGAGATAGGCAAGAACACCTTGAAATAATGCTTAACTAATCACAAAGCAACTATTCTGCAATAGATGGGTGAACCGCTAATTAGATGAAGAGAAATAAAACTGTCAAGGTAGGATAAAAGGATAAAGAGAAATAAGCAGTAATTACTGTTTTATCGTCAGAGAAAGTCGTATCAAACACGGCTCAATAAAAGGAGGGGGAAAAAACCCACAGTCTATAAGTAAATACCAGCACTCATTAAATTAGTACTAGGAGCAAAGCCCAACTCAGGGATGACAATGACATCTTAAAAAGTACATTCAAAAAAGAAAAAAAATTGACTGCAAAGTTGAGTAAGGGTGCTTTAGTTTTAGGGCACGCAACATTCTGAAGAATAAAATTGGCCGGGCGCGGGGGCTCATGCCTGTAATCCCAGCACTTTGGGAGGCTGAGGCGGGCAGATCATGAGGTCAGGAGATCGAGACCCTCCTGGCTAATATGGTGAAACCCCGTCTCTACTAAAAATACAAAAAATTAGCCAGGTGCTGTGGCGGGTGCCTGTAGTCCCAGCTACTCGGGAGGCTAAGGCAGGAGAATGGCGTGAACCCAGGAGGCGGAGCTTGCAGTGAGCCAAGATG